TTTGAGTGGAGTGTCCAGAAAAGCGCTATATAAGTGTAAGCAATTATTAGTTCCAGATCTCAAATAGATAAATTCATCAAAATAATCTGCTTTGCTCTACCCATCCTTGTCTTATCTGCTTCATCGGGGAGCTGGAGCCTATCCCAGCTAGCAATGGATGCAAGGCAGGATAATCCCATCACAGGGCACACACGGACACAGACAAACACCAGGGCTCATTTTTCCAGAGGCCAATTAACAAACAGCAAGTCTTTGGTCTGTGGGAGGGAACCCACACGAACACAGGGAGAACGTGCAGACTCCACACAGACAGCAGTCCAGGAATAGACCTGCGAGGCACAACCGACCACTGTGCTACTGTTCCGCCCTACACAGACATGTTCGTCAATCAAGTCAATACTGGTTGACAGATAATTATTTCTCACCAGGAATGACAGCCTGACCTGTAAAATAAATAACGAGGTTAAAAAACAATCAGTCCTATACTTCAATACATAAAATACACACAGATACATTTGCCGATGAAGTTAATTACAACAAAATCTTTTACTCACCTGACAGATGATGGACTTCATGAAGTAAGAACAAAAAAATGTTACCTCCAAATTTCAAACAGAAAAATACATAAATATATTATATTAAATAGCTTTTACTCACCGATAGGATCTGGACATTCAAAAGTTTGGAGAAAAGAGACAAAAAAAAAAGAAATAATTATCGTTTTTTTTTTAAATAAGCCTTGACAAGTCAGTCTTGCACCTACCAGGCTGCCCAGTAAAAAATTCAAAATAAGGTCCTTTTAGGATCACCTAGTCACTAGACTAGCACTCGAGCAGGGGAGTCTACCAGCCTCCTCTCTCTGCTTCTGTTCTTCCAAAACAAATAAACGGAAATCTTAAATCCATCTTAATGAGCAAAATTTAAAATTTCCCTGTCTCTCTCTACCTCTCCTCTCTCTCCCTCTCTCCTCTCTGCAGAAACAAAATGTGCAACAACAGGGATGGAGAAGCAAAATGATGATGAACAGGAGAGCGTGTTTCGTGTTTGTGTGAGAAGACGTAACATGATTGACACCACTATTTCTCATGAAACATCACGGCCACAGAGATGTTGTGTGTGCAGGGCAGGGGTGATTAGGAGAGCCTGTCTTCCTTACGATTTTGGGTGTGGTATCTTCTGGTGCCTACAAGGAAAAGAAAAGGGAAAGACTTTATTTTCTGTCTGTCTTGTGTTCCCATCTAGGCTCACATGACCTCTCACAGCAGAGTGCGCCTTTAGTGTTTAAGCAGCACCGTGTCTCTGACCCTGTACAGAGATGCAGGCTTCTGTATAAACCTGAAGAATGTCTTATTGCAGTTCCTAACACCTTTAACTCCAAAGCCTGCTGTGATCGCACTGTCTTGCCTCATGCCTGAATGAATTAGACTTGTTGAATGTTTTACAAAGCGTTTGCAATTAAGCTGTTCTGTTCATTCTGCTGGAGGCTGTTGTCCTGTCCAAAAGCACAGAAACACGTCGCTCCTTCACACGCAGACGGGACTGCGGGCTGCTGTGTTTCACATTGGCAGACGTGTTTCAGTGGAGGTAAACACACAGCCCGTGTGAGATCTAACTGGAGGCTCACTCTCCTGCAGGCTGGAGGCTGAGTTTCATGGGCAGGGCTAAGGAAGGAGCAGTTCAGCTCTTATTCTGTGCTGCTTCAGCTTCCTCACCAGGAGGAGAGACTCCCAGTGCTCCCTGCTGGAGTCGCTGTGGACAAGGCACTGGGCTGATGATGAACCCATCCGCTCTCTTGGCCTGTCAGCACCATGTGTGCACGGGCCAGGAGGTCACCAGAATCGGACCGGGGCGCTGGGGTGGCGTACCATGCCTGCGGTTCTGAGCCTGCTCTTCGCTGGGTTTCTCTGCCACCTGGGGGACAGAGCTCTGGCCCTCCTCCGGTCTGGTGACCACCATGGAGGTCAGCGGGGTCACAAAGTTGTACTGCAGGGAGAGGTTCTGGGCGCACTGCCTGATTTCTGGCTTGTCGCTGTCGCTGGCCAGTACCCTGCGTGCGACACAGGGAAGACCCGCTCAGACAACTACCCCGAGGTCCAACCGGAGCCACAGATCAGCAATCAGCAGAGCGCCGCCCTGGTGGCGTGGCCTGTAAACAGCCATGTGGTTTTTTCCTGTGTCGCAAGTGTGTCAGGACTGGTCAGTGTGTCAGGACTGGACTGGTCAGTGTGTGTCAGGACTGGTCAGTGTGTGAGGACTGGACTGGTCAGTGTGTGGGGTCTGGACTGGTCAGTGTGTCAGGACAGGTCAGTGCATGGGTTCAGGACTGGTCAGTGTGTGGGGACTGGACTGGTTGGTGTGTCAGGACTGGTCAGTGTGTGGGGTCTGGACTGGTCGGTGTGTCAGGACTGGTCAGTGTGTGTCAGGACTGCTCAGTGTGTGGGGTCTGGACTGGTCAGTGTGTGGGGTCTGGACTGGTCAGTGTGTGGGGACTGGACTGGTCAGTGTGGATGTGACTGCAGTGCACGAATCCCTCACTCTTGCTCCAGAAGCTGCTGTACGGTCAGGTAGGCCCAGAGCCTCTCGATGTACTCCCCGTAGATATACTCCGCCTTCGGGAAGTCCTTCCCCACCCCTTCCCCTGCCACAGGGATCTGCGCCTGGTACGTCACAATGCTGTCTTTCTGTGGACAGGCGAACGCAGGACATGTGACATCGCGACACCGGCTGGACTTCCTCCGTCTCTCACCTCCAGAGCTGCTGTGCTGGGCAAACCAGGGCGATTCGCTACCACACAGGAGCAAGAGTGTCGTTACTTTGATGGTTCAGGGCTCTGCTGGGGTAAAAATACGTATCCCTGGGCAACTTTCTAAATTCCGGAAAAGAATCAAAGGGTTTTACACGTCAAGTCGTGGGTTGACAAAATTTTCACCTCACAGGCAGTTTTCCAGGGATTAATTGCGTGGGATGTGGGAAGCCGAGCAGGAGGAGAATGTGTGAGCTGGAATGTGGGTGTTTCTTTGCAGTCGCGCTGACACGGCGGGACAGGCCAGCGGGCCGGGCGGCACACGGACTCACGGACTGGGCCTTGACCTCCGCAGTCAGGACCTCCAGGCTGTTGTCGGAGATGCGCCCGGCGACCACGATCTCGGAGCCGTTGTAGAACTTGTCGAAGGTGCTCTGGGTGACGTTGGCCGCGTCGCCGTGCGCGTACAGCATCTCCACGTTCACCAGCAGGGGCGTGGCCACCTCCTCGTAGAAGCCCTGCCAGACACGCAGCGCACGGCCTGAGAAACCCCCGTCCCGCCTCCCAGTCCTCCCCGGAACGCCACGGGAGGAAGCTGGGAAACCCACAGGCAAGGGAAAATGTCAGAGCTGTCGCACGACCGTGTCTCGCACAGAGCACTGCAGGCCCAGTCCACTGAGCTCAAAGAACAGCCAGCGAGTCTCTTCCTGGTCCTCCAGGCTCGGCGCACGCTGACAGATCGAAGGAAGTGAATCTCTTTGGTCTGCACAGAGATCACGAGCGTGGGCTTGGGTCTGCAGTGAACCGTGGACGAAGAGGGACCGCTGCCTGGGGTGCTAGAGGAGACCTTCTTGCTCTGTGTTTTTGCTAGATTTAGGAACTGGGTTTCTCTGGTCTTGAGCAGTTGGCGGGGAGGTACCTGGAGCTGCAGGTCGGAGTCAGAGTCCTCGTAGATCCTGCGCGCCACGCCCCCGTTCTCCAGAGCCATCTTCTCCAGGAACTTGAGGTTGACGTCGAAGCCGAAGCCCAGGCAGTACAGAGTGTATCTCTTCTGGATGGCTTCCTTCACGTTCGCCTGGATAGCGCCCAGGTTGGTAACACCTAGGAAGGGAGAAATCCGGGGCCTTGCACCTTACTGTGGCCCAGTTGATCCGTCATACCTGCAGGGCGCTCAGATCCATGGTCTATACCGAGCAGCTCCGAGCAGGGTGAAAGATCGCACGTGTGTGTGCGTGTGTAGGCGCCTCAGAGAAATGAAAACCTACTACTATCCCAACCATCTTCTGCTATCCACATTCCTGCAGTTTCCCTCACGGGATCAATAAAGGATCTATCTACTAGGAGCACCCAGGACAGAAAACAGGAACCAGCCAGGATGTCTGAGACCGAGAGAACTGCAAGATAAGCCTGTCTTTTGCAGTTCCGTTGAGCCCGAGAGGGGTACCTGTGGTGGGATCCCCGTCCGTGAGCAGGATGATGATGGAGGTGCTGCCCTCTGGGACTGTCTTCTCTTCCTTGGCCTTGTTCAGCATGGCCACCCCCTTCTCCAGGGCTGCATTGATGTCTGTAGCTGGAGCAGCAGAGACACAGAGCTCTTACAGCACAGACCCGCGCCTCACCTGGCCTCTGTTTGAAGACGGGGGACTGTGAGAGCAGAGCAGGTGAACTGCTGCGAGACACAAGGGGCTGACCGTGGCGCAGAGGGAGGCAGGAGGAAGGCCAGGGCGGCGCAGAGGGAGGCAGGCTGAACAGCAGGCAGAGGAGCACGGACAGCTCCGGGCCTCCAGGCGGGGGGCGCCTGCGCTTCTGGATACAGAGGCCACAGCGTGAGAGAGGCAGGTCAGAAGAAGAGAAAACCAGCAGCACGAGCGCAGAGGCTGGACAGGAGCTGTGGAGAGGAGCTGAATCTTCTCAGTCTTGGAGAAAGCAAAGAGGAGCCTTGATTCAGGTTTTAACAAGGGAGGGCGACCCTGGGGAGCACAGGGATGATCTGGGAACTCGAGGAGAGGGATTTTCCCGAATAAGCTGGAGAACGGACCTCAGATACACGCGGAAGAGATGCCCCACCCGCCTCCCGCAGGCGGAGACGACAGGACCTCACTCCGAGCCCTGGACAATGAGCCGGGGGAGGAGGGGTACCCCAGCCCCCAGATCGCGCGCGGGGTGACGGTCAGGCTCGGCTCTCACCCCCGCGGTCGGTGATCTGGCGGACGAACCCCCGCGCCTCCTCCAGCATGCCGCCGCTCGCCCGCACCAGCGAGTCCTTCCAGGGCGTGACCTCGCTGTCGAACGTGATCAGCCCGAAGTGGTCGTCCTCGTGGACGTCGGCCAGGATCTTCAGCAAGGCCTCCCGGGTCTGCGGGGGGCGGGGGGCAGAGATCAGAGGTCATTCTGTGAATCATCGACACGCTCGGAAAAACCAGAGCGGAGAGAGAGAGAGAGCGCAGTTCTTCATTAACCCGAGTGACGCACACCTGCCCACGGCCCCAAGGAGACAGATCCTGGGACCTTGGAGCCAGGAACAGCCAGCTCACAGGGCAGCGAGGGGAACAAGGCTCTCTCTGGGATATCACAAAGCAGATATCCTCTGCGTCTAGGTGACTGGACATCCCTGTCTCCCTATCAGTCAACTGTCTGTCTGTGTAGGCCTGGAACTGGGGTACAGTGTGTCTGCGGAACACTGGAACTGGGGTACAGTGTGTCCGCGGAACACTGGAACTGGGGTACAGTGTGTCTGTGGAACACTGGAACTGGGGTACATACCTGCACGATTTTCCTGCCCGACATGGAGCCACTGCGGTCGATGACAAAGACCACATTCTTGGGGATGCGCTCGATGTTAGCAGGGGAGAAGTAATGGACAAAATACCCATTTTGCACCTGGAGGGACACAGGAAAAGAGGAAGAGGCAAGAGAGGGTACCTCATTTTTTTGCTGAACCCCAACACCACCAGCCTGGCCCCTGGTCCTGCCCAGTGTGTGGAGGAGCCTGTACCTGCCTCCTGCAGTCACTAGGGGCCGGACCGAGCCTGAACCCAGGTGTGGACACCTCCCTGCCCCTGTCCCTGCGGTCACTAGGGGCCGGACTGACCACGCAGACGCTGGGGTCCCTCCCACTCTGGGCCCCAATCCGAGCCTGAGTGTGGACACCTCCCTGCCCCTGTCCTGACACGCTGGCTGCAGTCTAAAATGACCTGTTATTAATCAGCCCTTAATTTAGCTGTACTTGTCAATATGGGGCTTCTTTTAATTCAGCTCTGTTACAAGAGGCTACAGGCCTGGTGCCGCCTACTCTTTGAATCTGGGGGACACGTCAGGCAGCGCCGAGGGCAGGAACTGCGGGGTCTTGGGGAAAAGTCGCATATGAAAAGAGTAGCAAGGGAACAAGCGATCGGCTGTGCGCTCGGGGCCGGCGCGCGAGATTGGCGGAGAGCGCGGGCGGGGGGTCGGACCTGCAGCACGCCCTGCGGCAGCTCCCGGTTGACGTCGTACTTGATGACCAGGTCGCCGTCCAGCCCGCTGCCCGCGCAGTCGGCGCACTGCTGCTGCTCGACGGTCGGCGCGAACTCCACATGGGCCACCTGGGCGCGGGGGCAGAGAGAGCGGCAGCGTCAGTGCGCCCCCTGCTGGCGGGAGGCCTGCGGTGAGCGGGGGGGGGATATAGAACTGGGGTCTCCTGGTGTCGGGGCGACCGCGGAGAGGCTGGTACCGTGCCCTCGGACTCGCTGATCTGCAGGAGGTCGGGCTGTGCGCCGGAGGTCAGGCTGCCCTGCGCTTCCACCGAGCGGATCCCCTGGGGCTCGTAGATCCTCACGTCGATCTGGGGAGACAGCAGCGTCAGAGCAGGGCTCCCTTGCTTGCCCGCTTCTCCTTGATTCAAGAAAAACTAGAGGACTGGGGGTGGGCGGGCCTTCTCCTAATTAATGCGCCCCAGCTCACAGCTCACAGGTGCTGCTGTGCGGGGATTTGATTGGACCTGCGAGGAGAAGGATGGATCCGATTGGCTCCAACTTCTGTCAGTCTTAAAGGATTCGGGGCAGTGTTCCGCCCACTATGACAAATGAAGGAAGGTGATTGGATCTACCCCTTGTCTTTAAAAGTAATATACTAATAACCTGTGTCAACTGATACCTGTTCTACATGCAATCGCACATGTCCTTCTGTATTCCAGATCTTCACACAATAAGCTACACACGCAGTCAAACTAAGAAATCTCCAGGCAGTGTGCCCCTGGACGCTGGGCAGCAGTGTGTCCTCTGTCCCAGCCCCTGGACAGCTGTGTGACCCCTGACCCAGCCTGTGGACATGGGGCAGCTGTGCCCAGCGAATCCTCCTGCGCACCTTGAAGTTGCTGACGACTTGCTTGGGCCGGGCCTTGATCATCAGCTCGTACTTCCCCAGGCGCCTCTTCAGCAGCTCCTCGTAGGTCAGCTCGAAGGTCACCTTGCTCAAGGGTGCCACGTTCACTGACGTCTTGAACTCCTCCAGAGTGCGCCCCACCGTGCTGAGGCGAACGGGGGCAGGGCAGGACAGTCAGCCACTCACATGCAATCACGTGCAAGATTAACCACCCCTGATCCCCACTGCCCGTGAGATTAACTACCCCTGATCCCCACTGCTCGCGAGATTAACTACCCCTGATCCCCACTGCTCGT